CAAGGCACACATATCTCATTTCATTTTTCAACGGTGAGTCACGCCTCGCTCGATGGGGTGGCCCTATGAGCTACCCCATTGCTCTGCGTTATCGACGTTTGTGGTTCCTTTGGGTGCTGTTAGTCTGGCTAAGCGGCATGAAGCCTCCCCCCAAGCTGACCATTCTTTCCGGTCTCCATGTCATATTGACAGTGAAAGTTGGTAATTGTGGGAGACAGGCCTACCCATCACTGTAAACGCACAGCTTGCAGCACAACAGTTAAACGCTGTATAAAATATACGGCCATGAAAGTACCGTGAAAGAATGACAAAATGACTGTCTCGGAACATATCATCTTTGACAGGGCAAGAAGGATATACTTGAAAGGTCCAATTCATTTTTAGATCAAAGTATTCAACGGGGACGTGGTTTAATGCTGGGCTGCTCATGCCTTGGGCTTACAGTAAAGACGATATTTGTCAGAATGGTGAAAACAGCTTGTAAGTTGCTCTTAGCGGTACACTTGGCAGATCTAGACACGGTACTTTGGCAGACAGGTCTTTCCTTTTTTATTGTGTTACGCCGCTTTGGAAACGCAGGAACCCGCTAAGAACAGTTTTCATCACCACTCATCGCCTTTCCAAGGGTTCAGAATGACGCATACGGCCTATTAAACCATCCACAGGGAAACCAGCGACTAGAGCCTTTAAAACGACTTGTCGTATAATACGTAGACTGTTACATGGGCGATATTTTGAGGAATAGCGAGGAGTGTTAATGCAGCTTCTAAGACTCTGTAATTCGTCTAGCCCTGCTAGCGTATCCCTGGTAGACTCATCATCACTGTACTTTCCATTGGCGATTTTTCATGTAATACACTTTCCTCTGTTGGAACAAGACCGAAATCACAGTATTGTACATTAGTATGGATATATTCCAGTTGAGATATGAGGAGAGTTGAGAAATGATATTAGGGTGTCCTTGCTACTGTGTCACATAGCTTAGAGTCATTTCAACCGAAAAAGGGTTGAATGATTGATGTCTATAATTTGCCGTTCGGCAGATATCTATATCACACATATACAGTACATAGCTCTTGGCTCTTCCTTAATCGTTATGGAGTGCCCATCGGCCATTCACGCGAAGTGACGCGCAAAATGATTGGTACTTAACAGAGACGGCGATAACGTATTGGACGATTCATTTTGTCACAGATGATTATATTTCAGCACCAACTGGATATAACAACCCAAGAGAAGAAGTATGCTTGAGCATAACAAAGTTTTGTGCCAAGAAAAATGTCTTGAGCGACGTATTCAACATAGGCAAAGGACGCTAAGCAATATTTAGATGGTTGTAACATACTATGGGTTACTGTGGTGACGCTTGTATCATTGGATACTTTTAAGCATACGTTCCGCTTGGCCGTGGTTTCAGAAGAATCAACTTTAGTTGACAAGGTATTCATATATTTTCCTCGTAGAAGTCCCACTCATTTGTACATTATTAGACTTTTCATAAAAGTACCATAACACACAATTGGCGAAGTCCAGGGTCTATGCTGATACTTGGGCTGCTCGTTTAATAAAAGTAGTTATTGCCGTATATAACACTTAACAGATATAAGGCGTTCATCATATAGACCACGCTTACAATGTATACAATAAAGACATATTATCTTCACCGGACATCTGCAATAACTTGTCTATAAACGGACTGTGGAAGATTTTTACGGTAGGAAGATTCCGGATCTCTTAATTGGGGAAGACTTTGCCATGATATATAGAGGCGGAAGCTTTCCTTTTACGGTCTATCCTTTCAAACGATAGTTTGACAAATGCTGGAAATCAACAACAAGAAGTACCCGTTTTATTTGCCCCATGACCTGAATGTGTCAGACGTCATTATTCATTCCTGTGCCTTAATGGTTAAAGATTGACATAAATGTCCCACTGTGTCATAATTATTCAATTTTATCTCAACAGTACAATACCAGGGCCAATTCAGCCCAGTTAGGCCAAGTAGGAAAGGTTCATGTCTCATTTTTCATGCAATCTTCTTTTCATGCAATCTTCTTTTCTGTAGATAGGCTGCCTCTATTTTTAATGGACCGGCTTATCAATACCTGAAACTTGTTAAGTTTCAATCGTCAATGCCGTTATTTTTAATGCGTAGTTCTTTCAAGTTTTTCTTAATCTGTAACACTGTAATTCAGTCAACTTGGCTGCCAATGTGAATAAACAG